GGCTCTCTCGTTCGAAAGTTTCTCGCGATTCAATTCGCCGACCCCTTGGGGTCACGGCGCGTGAGATGCTTCCCCCTCCCCGAACCCCATCCCCCGGGGGCCAGGTCCGACTGGTGTCGGACGCACACTTGGAGCCTCAGGAGGACCCGGAACGGGCCAAAAAGGTTCAAAAGGGTGCCGGAATGGTCCAAGAGAGCGACGAGTTGATGAAAGATCGTTCCCAAACGCCGAAGATTGCCTGCAAACGGCCTCATCAGTCCTCAAGACTCTTGGAAAATACGACGAGGCGCCCCGCGATGGCCCTCCAGAAGCAAAAATCGCCCCATTCCCTTGGGAAGACGTGCGTTTTCAGCACGTTCGCCGCCTTTTGGGTTTCCACGCGGCCCACAACGGCCCAAAAAGCCTGCAATATCGACCCTCCGCAGCCTACGAAGCTCCGAAAAAAAGGCTCCACGACGGTTTCCAGGCGATCCACGGGGGATGAAAAAACAAAAAAGCGAGGAGAGGACAACGTAGGGAACGGGAGGAGAGCCTGCGCCAGGGCGAGGAGGAGAATGTCGCAGAGGAGAATGACGCAGAGGAGGGCGACGGTGAGGGCTATGTCCAGATTGGCCGAGAGGGTTTTCATGCGGGGTCCTACCGTCGGAATAATTTCAATTTAAGTGCCCCTCCTGGGGTCCGCACCCTACGAGGGAAATCTTCGTCCTCAGACTGCGCCCGTGGCCCCCGACTTTTGCACAACAAAAGCGATTCCCGCCTGGTGCTTCCTCACAATGTATTCCCAAATTGCGCTTTCGCGCAGGACTTCCTTGCAATGTATGCAGATATCGAACACTCGCGTGGTGCATGCGGAAGATGCTGATCCTGCGGCCGCCGCCAATTTCTAGAGCGAAGACCGCCGGCACCCTTGCGGAAGGCGCTCCTGGAGTTCGACATCAAAACGGAAAGCTCCACGGCAGAGGGGGAGCAGCTCGCGGCAGAGATGGGTTTCGTGCTGCCCCCCGCCTGAGCGCGGCGGCGCCCCACTCGAAGCCCGCGGAGGTGTCCCAACGGCTTGGTCTCGCGCGCCAGCGGCTCGCGGGGTAGCCCCGACTGCCTGGCCCGCGGGGTTGTCCCAACGGCTGCGGCGCAATGTGGCAATTAGAGATTGCGCCCGTGCTGGCCGAGGCAGCGCCGGCGCCGAGGAAAATCGGCATGCGCGCTCATGCAACAGAAAGGGGGAGGAGGTGGCGGGGGATGAAAGAAACAAAAAAGCTAGGAAAGGACAACGTAGGGAGCGGGAGGGGAGCCTGCGCCAGGGCGAGGAGGATAATGACGCAGAGGAGACAGTAAGGGCGCCTCAACAATCACGAGGACGACGATGAGGGTAATTCCCGGATTCGCCGAGGGGTTTCTCATGTGGGGTCCTACCGTCGGAGTAATTGTTGAATTCTCACTTCTGAAAAAATATGGTGGATCCCACCTCCAATACGCATCATAGGTTTTCTGTTGAAGTGGCCCTTCCAGGACTCGCACCCTGTTTTTTATTCCACCAGCAAAATATAGAGCCTCAAACTGGGCGGCGGGCCCCCGAGTTACAACAACAACGGTTTTCGCCTGATACTTCCTCATCGTTTATTGGGAGATCAAGCTTTCGCCTGAGACCTCCTTGCAATCTACTCAGGAATCGCGCTATCGTGAGAAGCTCCATCATACTTCACTCAAATGCCGCGCCATCGGCACTGAGGGATCACGCTCTCGCGTTGGCCGTTCACACGATTGACTCCAGAATCGCGCTATCGCTCGAGACTTCCTCGCGATCCATGCAAGACGCACGCTTCAGCAACCCGCATGCTCGACCTGGCCGCCTGGGCCCGCCTTCCCGACCCGTCTGTTAGGGTCTACCCGCCCGATTTGCCCGTCTGGTTCTGCCACGTGTTTTCTGCTCCTGGCCCCCTCCAGTCTCCTCCTTCCCCCTTGTCCCTGTATTCTGTCCGTCGTCTCTTCCCTTGCCGTAGGGGCTGCATGCAGTACGCGTTGCAGGTAAGAAAGATATACCCCCAATGGGGGTACGATCGAAAACGACAAGGGCGGGTATCGAGGTTTGGGAGATACGCTTTGAAGGGCACGCGAGCAGATAAGAGCGAACAATATTGAAATGACTGTTGTTGGTGGTGGTGGTGATGGTGTTGCTGTTGTTTGAGTCATCGTTCCTAACAACTCTTATTGATCAGCCTCCTCCGGTAATCATGTTGCACTTTTCACAGGAAGTGCTCCTTCCGGGGATCGCACCCTGTTTTTCAATAAGGCGAAGCTGGGTGTCACCAAACTGCGCCTCTGGCCCCCGAGTTACAACATCAACAACAACGGCTCCCGCCTGATATTTCCTCACGATGTATTCCCAAGTCGCGGTCTCGAGCGGGACTTCCCCACAATTTATGCAGGCATCGGGCTCTCGCGTGGGACTACCTCGCAACTTATTCAGACGCCGCGCCCTCGACACTCAGGAACCACGCTCTCGCGCGAGACCTCCTCGCGATCCAAGCAGGACGCACGCTTCAGCAACTCCGCCTGCTCCACCTGGCCGCCTGGGCCCGCCTCCTCCCGACCCGCCCGCGAGGGCCGGCCCGCCCGATCTGCCCGCCTGGTTCTGCCACGCGTTTTCTGCTCATATCGGGGGCGCGCAGGCATGGATTAGCGATCCATGGATGTGGCGCGCGGTCGCCGAATCCATGGATCGGGGGAGGTGCCCTCCCCACAATGCGGCCGGTGCCGCCTCGCCCGGCGGCGGCAATCCGCGACTTCCCATGGAAACGGGACCCATCGCTGATCCACGCCCCCTTGATCCATGTTTGCGATCGCCTGATCATGGCCGCTGTCCTGCTAATTTCTCTTTCGTGCTCCATCCTTTTCCCTCCCCATTCTATCCGTGCTCTCGTCCCCTGTTTTAGGGTCTGCGCGAATTGCGCGTGGTAGTTAAGGAAGATATACCCCCAAGGAGGTACGATCAAAGACGAAGAGGGCGGGTATCGAGGGTTTGGGATATACGTGTTGAAGGGCACGCAAGCAGATAAGAGCGAACAGTCTTAACATGATTGTTGTTGCTGTTGTTGTTGATACTGTTGTTGTAGTCGACGTCGTCGTCGTCATCGTCGTCGTCGTCGTGATGGATATTTCTGTCGTTGTTGTTGCTGCTGCTGTTGCTGCTTTTGCTGTTGTTGTTGTTGTCGTTGTTGTTGCTAGTGTTGTTGCTGTTGCTGTTGCTGTTGCTGGTGTTGTTGCTGCTGTTGTTGAGCTCTCACGACTGAAGACTAAATATTGTTGATCCCCCTGCGGTAGCACATCTGTTTTTCAATTGAAGTGCCCCTCCCGGGGTTCGCACCGTGTTTTTTTCCCCACGTCCAAAGTGGGGTTCTTGTTCCCCGCGCAGGAACAGGAACCCACCATCATCATCATCATCATCATCATCATCATCATCATCATCATCACTCATTCCTCACTCACTCACTCACTCACTCACTCACCCACTCATCACCACGCACTCACTCACTCACTCACTCACTCGCTCACTCACTCACACGCTCATGAACTCACATATGATGATGATGAGTGTGCGCGTGAGAGAGTGTGATGATCATCATCATCACCAGTCAGTCAGTCAGTCACTCACTCACTCACTCGCCTTGGGCCTCGTCGGTGAGTGAATTGCGAGGAAGTCTCAAGCGGGAGCCCCCTCCCTATGGGGCCCGCGGATCATGTTACTAATCCGAGCGGGTCATCCAATTCCTGTAACTGTCGCCACTTTTGGGCTCTCGCGCTGCCAAAACGCCATTCCCAGGCCACATTGTGAGTGAATTGCAAGAAAATCTTAAGCGGGAGCCCCCTCCTTATGGGGCCCGCGGGTCATGTTACTAATCCGAGCGGTCATCCAATTCCTGTAACTGTCGCCACTTTTGGGCTCTCGCGCTGCCAGAACGCCACTCCCAGGCTACATGTGTGAGTGAATTGTGAAGAAGTCTCAAGCGGGAGCCCCCTCCCTATGGGGCCCGCAAATCATATTATTAATCCGAGCGGGTCGTCCAATTCTTATAGCTGTCGCCACTTTTGGGCTCTCGCGCTGCCAAAACGCCATTCCCAGGCCACATTTTGAATGCCCGGAGCCAACTGTAGGCCACTTCGTGTTCTTCGTGCTCCCAGAATACCATTCCCAGGCCACATTTTGAATGCCCGGAGCCAACTGTAGGCCACTTCGTGTTCTTCGTGCTCCCAGAACACAACTCCCGGGCCACTTTATGAATATCCGGAGCCAAAACAGGAGGGCGAGGTCGGGGGCAACGTTGGGAGCGGGGGGAGGGCCCGCGCCAGGGCGAGAAGAAATATACGCAGAAGATACAGCCAGGACGCCTCACCAACCACGAGGACGACGGTGAGGGCTTTTTCCAGATTCGCCCAGAGGATTCTCATGCGGGGTCCTTCCGTCGGAATAATTTTATCAAGGGAACTCTTCCTCAACTGTGCCCCTGGCCTCCGGTTTACAACAACTACGGCTCCCGCCGGATACTTCCGCGCAACGTACTGAGGAATTGCGCTTTCGCTACGGACGTCCTTACAATTCATCCAAAAATCGCGCTCTCGCCTGGGACTTCCTCGCAATGTATTCAGGCGCCACGCCCTCGCCATTCAGGAAGCGCGCTCCCGTCTGAGACTTCATCAGATTTTACTCAGGAATCGCGCTCTCGCCTGAGACTTCCTGGCGAATTATGTGGGACTCACGCGCTCGCGTAACATAGGTGTTTTTCCCAACCCTGCTGTGTTGGGTTCTCTTTTTAAATCAAGCAGTGTGGTCGCACACCCTTCCGTTCTATCGCCCCTTCTCTCCAACCTCTCACCTCGCTCTTTCCTGCGTGCCAGATTGCCTCCTGTCTGGCCATTCCCGTAGGGCTGCGATCTGCGAAACGGTCGTCATTTTCGAAGGCTGCTGGGGGATCCAGCGGGGTGACGTTCTACGCAAAGTCATATCA